TACATTTCGGTATATACAACTCTCAGCACGCAGTGGTCACACCGGAAATAGTACATTAGCGATTCTCTGCACACGGAATCTCCATGCAGCGAGTGTACGCAGCACAGTAGCCTCTGGTCGCCCCGTGCAGCGACTAAAAGTCAACAGAAGGGATCGTCCGCATTTGCGTCTGGCTCCTTAACCACACAAACACCACCCGAGGCACAAATGCCAATGAACTGGTCAGCGAAAAGCACATATCCACTTGCTCACAAAAAGCACGAGGATACGTAGCCCGTTTAAACGAATGTTACATTGGCAGATAAATACCAGCGCGCAGCAGTCAACACCGCATAACACGCATTTCCTTCAACAGGCTCTCACACAATTCTACGCACTTGCTGCAGCCATAACCAGTATCGTGACAGACTGACCAGAAGCTGCCAAGGCTGCTACCAACCGCATGTTGATGACTCCGGGACAAAGGGCAACAAACTCAGACATCTGTACCAAGCGCAAACAGCCAGACACTGTATTCATGTCAGGCACAGTCAGCCTTTATGCCCACGTATGCACAAAAACGCAAGCCATCAAGCCACGCGTGAGCAACGTCTGCAACTCCTTGCTCCCCTACAACTACGGGAAGCAAAGCCAATCGAGGTTGCTTGGCTTCTGCTGGGCGAGAATACGCACATGACCACGTGGTGACGCGCTGCAGCTACTCCCCCATGCTTACTTTCTTTCCAACTTAGTTGCACTTCCCATAACCCACCCAGCAGCAACGGCATCCTTTGCAGCCCACTAGAATCCCGCACATCCTTCACCCTACACGTTCAACTCGCCCTCCACCCGTTTACCACTCCGAGCAAATGCCAATGCAAAGCCCAGCCCTCCCACCTCTCGCAAAACCTGCAACTTCCACATACCTTTTTGAGCGGCCTTCACGTTTCCGGCGGCCTCTAGCTTCGCTATGCCCAATCAGCGCCAAAACAGTGAGCTCTTTCAAACGTCTCGCCCACTTCTTCCGACACTCACGGCACCTCGGCCGCCCGCTCTTCATACAGCCGCAAATGGAATCCGAAAGCCTTTAACACTACACATCCAGTCTGCTAAATGAACCTGCTCGTCGCAAAGCAGCAAGCGTCGCTCGATGCCGAAGCATCCTCGCATGCGACATCCACCTCTCTGCTTGCATAACGTAACAGCAAATGCAGATAATCGTGGCAACTCAGCGGCAGTCCAAACATCGCCGACTCGCAGGCCAACCCTGCTGTCTGCGCGAATAGGCCCACCCTGCGAGGACCAGACCCAAGCTAATCAAACGCTATGCCCTCCTCACACGGAGAACCACCCCACCAATCCAGAGAAGCCTGCTCGTCCACATAGCAGAGTGCTCGCAATCGTGTTTGCTATTCTGATCGCGCAAAACATCCGACAAGTCACCACCGCCAATACAGTGCTCCTCAGCAAAACGCGCACATCTACTCCTTCACACACTGAACTTGTGCGCACGCACTCAGTCACAAACAAATCGTCACTTTGGCCCCGATGTGACATTCCACTCCAGCTAACCCCGCATAACATACATTTCTGTCAAAACCCCCTGACACAATTCCACACACTTGCTCGGACTGGAACCAGTTCAAAATGACAGGATGACCAGAATTCGCCAACGCTGCTTACCAACCCCATGTTGATGAGTCCGCAAAACACCATGAAGCGCCAAAAAAACGAAAACACACTCAGCCATCTGTAACAAGCGCCTGCCGCCAGACACTGTATTCATGTCAGGCACAGTCAACGCTTGTACTCACCTCTGCACGAAAAAAAAGCCCGCCAAGGCCTTCAGTGAGCAGCATTGCAATTTTGCGCTGCCTGAGAAATAACGCAAGCAAAGCCAACCGATGATATTCGGCTGGTGCTGGATGGCACTATGCAGAGGACACCATGATACACCCCTATGTTTACCCTGCCGCTTAGTTGCACTCCTATGATCCCCTCTAGAAGCAACAAAATCCTTTCCAACCCACTGAGAGCCAATACAAAACGCACCATGGAAAGTGTACGGCATTGTGCGGTAGCAAGCCCCGCATAACACACATTCCCGTCAACAGGGACTGACACAATTTCACGCACTCGCTGCAGCCGCCACCAATTATACATATATATATATATTATATATATAGTAACCGGCTGACTAGTAGGTGCCAACCCTGCTCAGCATCCGCATGTTGATGACTACGCATACACCATGAAACGTCAAAAATTGGACAACACACTCAGCCATCTGTACAAAGGGCCTGTAGCCAGACACTGTATTCATGTCAGGCAGAATCAACGCTTGTGCCCACGTCAGCACTAAAACAACCCGTCAAGGCACTCGGCGAGCTACATTGCAATTTTGCGCTGTCAGGGAACTAAAGCACGCAAATCCAGCTGATGGTATGCTGCTTGTGTTGGAGAGCAATATGCAAAGTATAGCACGATGGCGCGCAGCAGCTACACTCCCATACTTACTTTCCAGTCATTTTGCATTCCCCTGACCCCCTCGAGCAGCAACGCCATCCATTCCAACCCACTGTCAGCCAATCCAAAAAGCATCATCGAACATCTATGACACTGCAGTGCAGACAGGCCTGCAAAATATAAACATCTTCAAAGGGCCCTGAGACGATTCCACACACTTGCTGCAGCCGTAGCAAATATACAGTGACAGGCTGACCCGAATCTGCCAACCCTGCTCACCAACCGCATATTGCTGACTCCGCAAACACCATGAAGCGCCACAAATCGGACAACAAACTCTGACATCTGTACCAAGCGCAAACAGCCAGACACTGTATTCATGTCAGGCACAGTCAGCCTTTATGCCCACGTATGCACAAAAACGCAAGCCATCAAGCCACACGTGAGCAACGTCTGCAACTCCTTGCTCCCCTACAACTACGGGAAGCAAAGCCAATCGAGGTTGCTTGGCTTCTGCTGGGCGAGAATACGCACATGACCATGTGGTGACGCGCTGCAGCTACTCCCCCATGCTTACTTTCCAACTTAGTTGCACTTCCCATAACCCACCCAGCAGCAACGGTATCCTTTGCAGCCCACTAGAATCCCGCACATCCTTCACCCTACACGTTCAACTCGCCCTCCACCCGTTTACCACTCCGAGCAAATGCCAATGCAAGCCCAGCCCTCCCACCTCTCGCAAAACCTGCAACTTCCACATACCTTTTTGAGCGGCCTTCACGTTTCCGGCGGCCTCTAGCTTCGCTATGCTCAATCAGCGCCAAAACAGTGAGCTCTTTCAAACGTCTCGCCCACTTCTTCCGACACTCACGGCACCTCGGCCGCCCGCTCTCCATACAGCCGCAAATGGAATCCGAAAGCCTTTAACACTACACATCCAGTCTGCCAAATGAACCTGCTCGTCGCAAAGCAGCAAGCGTCGCTCGATGCCGAAGCATCCTCGCATGCGACATCCACCTCTCTGCTTGCATAACGTAACAGCAAATGCAGATAATCGTGGCAACTCAGCGGCAGTCCAAACATCGCCGACTCGCAGGCCAGACCTGCTGTCTGCGCGAATAGGCCCACCCTGCGAGGACCAGACCCAAGCTAATCAAACGCTATGCCCTCCTCACACGAAGAACCACCCCACCAGTCCAGAGAAGCCTGCTCGTCCACACAGCAGAGTGCTCGCAATCTTGTTTGCTATCCTGAGCGCGCGAAACATCCGACGAGTCACCGCTGCCAATACACTGCTTCCCAGGAAAATAAACGCATTCGCTTGTTCACACGCACTCAGTCACAATAAGCGCAACATTCGAGCCTATGTCACACTGGGTTGCCGCTAACCCGTCATGATATACATTTCTTCAACGGGCTTTGACACAATTCCACACACTTGCTGCAACTGTAACAGGTATATAATGATTGGATGACCACAAGCTGCCAACGCTGCTTACCAACCGCACATTGCTGACTCCGCAAACAACATGAAGCGCCACAAATCGGACAACAAACTCTGACATCTGTACCAAGCGCAAACAGCCAGACACTGTATTCATGTCAGGCACAGTCAGCCTTTATGTCCACGTATGCACAAAAACGCAAGCCATCAAGCCACACGTGAGCAACGTCTGCAACTCCTTGCTCCCCTACAACTACGGGAAGCAAAGCCAATCGAGGTTGCTTGGCTTCTGCTGGGCGAGAATACGCACATGACCACGTGGTGACGCGCTGCAGCTACTCCCCCATGCTTACTTTCTTTCCAACTTAGTTGCACTTCCCATAACCCACCCAGCAGCAACGGCATCCTTTGCAGCCCACTAGAATCCCGCGCATCCTTCACCCTACACGTTCAACTCGCCCTCCACCCGTTTACCACTCCGAGCAAATGCCAATGCAAAGCCCAGCCCTCCCACCTCTCGCAAAACCTGCAACTGCCACATACCTTTTTGAGCGGCCTTCACGTTTCCGGCGGCCTCTAGCTTCGCTATGCTCAATCAGCGCCAAAGCACAGCCGACTATGCTTTGTACACAAAAGCCCTCTCAACTGCTCCCAAGACAGTTATATGCTTTATGTACCGCAGCAAGTGCAAACACAATGTGACAAGCACAAAGCCCGTGAACATTAATCACCCACCTAACAAAGCCTGCCCGCAAAGGCAGAGAACGACCCGTCCATAAAAGCACAGACAAACTGCTAGAAACACTGTGCTGTACAATGACTTTAGTTGCCCAGGTTCGGCAAACTCACGCAGCTAGCGATTCTTTCTCACGCCACGCAAAAGTAGCAAGGTGAACATAAAACGCCATGGTAAGAAGTGTGTGTCTGGGGAAGTGCTCAAAAGCGCATTCACAGTGAGCTCTTTCAAACGTCTCGCCCACTTCTTCCGACACTCACGGCACCTCGGCCGCCTGCTCTTCATACAGCCGCAAATGGAATCCGAAAGCCTTTAACACTACACATCCAGTCTGCCAAATGAACCTGCTCGTCGCAAAGCAGCAAGCGTCGCTCGATGCCGAAGCATCCTCGCATGCGACATCCACCTCTCTGCTTGCATAACGTAACAGCAAATGCAGATAATCGTGGCAACTCAGCGGCAGTCCAAACATCGCCGACTCGCAGGCCAGACCTGCTGTCTGCGCGAATAGGCCCACCCTGCGAGGACCAGACCCAAGCTAATCAAACGCTATGGCCCCCTTACACGAAGAACCACCCCACCAATCCAGAGAAGCCTGCTCGTCCACATAGCAGAGTGCTCGCAATCGTGTTTGCTATTCTGATCGCGCAAAACATCGGACGAGTCGCCAGCGCCAATGCGCTTCTCCTCAGCAAAATGCCACATCCACTCCTTCACACACTGAACCAGTGCATGCTCTCAGTCAAGAGGACGTTACTTTGGCACATATGTGACGCTGTGCCCAGCAAAGGCAGGATAACACACCCTTCTCTCAGAAGCCCCTCTCATAATTCCACACACTTGCTGCAACTGAACCAGTGCAAAGTGACATGCAAACCAGGATCTGGCAATGCTGCTTACCAACCGCATGCGATGACTCCGCAAAAAACGTGAAGCAACAAAAATAGGACAACAAACTCAGCCATGTGTACCAAGCGCCAGCAGCCAAACACTTTATTCATGTCAGGCACAGTCAAAGCCTGTGCTCACGTCTGCATCAAAACGAAGCCCGTCAAGGCACTCAGCGGGCACCATTGCAATTTCGCCCTACCTGAGAACTAACGCAAGCAAAACCAACCGATGATGTTCGTTTGTGTTAGATGCCAATATGCAAGTGAAAACGCGACTGCGTGTCGCAGCTACACTCCCATTCTTACGTCTCAGTTTAGTTGCACTCCTCTCACCCCCTCCAACAGCAACATCCTGTTCAGCCAACTGGCAGCCAAAGCGCGCCATCATACGAATCAGACACTCTATGCTGACTGGCCCACGAACAAAATACATTTCTGCCACAAAGTCCCGTCACAATTCCACACACTTGCTGCAGCCATAACCAATATCGTGACAGGCTCGCCAGAAGCTACCAACGCTGCTTACCAACCGCATATTCATCACTCCGGAGACACCATGAAGCGCCACAAATCGGACAACAAACTCTGACATCTCTACCAAGCGCGAACAGCCAGACACTGTATTCATGTCAGGCACAGTCAGCCTTTATGCCCACGTATGCACAAAAACGCAAGCCATCAAGCCACACGTGAGCAACGTCTGCAACTCCTTGCCCCCCTACAACTACGGGAAGCAAAGCCAATCGAGGTTGCTTGGCTTCTGCTGGGCGAGAATACGCACATGACCACGTGGTGACGCGCTGCAGCTACTCCCCCATGCTTACTTTCCAACTTAGTTGCACTTCCCATAACCCACCCAGCAGCAACGGCATCCTTTGCAGCCCACTAGAATCCCGCACATCCTTCACCCTACACGTTCAACTCGCCCTCCACCCGTCTACCACTCCGAGCAAATGCCAATGCAAAGCCCAGCCCTCCCACCTCTCGCAAAACCTGCAACTTCCACATACCTTTTTGAGCGGCCTTCACGTTTCCGGCGGCCTCTAGCTTCGCTATGCCCAATCAGCGCCAAAACAATGAGCTCTTTCAAACGTCTCGCCCACTTCTTCCGACACTCACGGCACCTCAGCCGCCTGCTCTTCATACAGCCGCAAATGGAATCCGAAAGCCTTTAACACTACACATCCAGTCTGCCAAATGAACCTGCTCGTCGCAAAGCAGCAAGCGTCGCTCGATGCCGAAGCATCCTCGCATGCGACATCCACCTCTCTGCTTGCATAACGTAACAGCAAATGCAGATAATCGTGGCAACTCAGCGGCAATCCAAACATCGCCGACTCGCAGGCCAGACCTGCTGTCAGCGCGAATAGGCCCACCCTGCGAGGACCAGACCCAAGCTAATCAAACGCTATGGCCCCCTCACACGAAGAACCACCCCACCAATCCAGAGAAGCCTGCTCGTGCATATAGCAGAGTGCTCGCAATCGTGTTTGCTATTCTGATCGCGCAAAACATCTGACGAGCAACCACCGCCAATACACTGGTCCTGAGCAAAACAAACACATCCACTCCTTCACACACTGAACGTGCGCACGCACTCAGTCACAAACAAATCGTCACTTCGACACACATAAGACATTTCACTGAAGCTAGCGCCGCAGAACATCTATATCTGTTAAAAGCCCCTGACACAACTCCACAAATCCACACACTCGCTGCACCTGTAACCATTATATAGTGACAGGCTGACCAGAATCTGCCATGAGTTGTTACCAACCGCATGTTGCTGACCCCACGTACGCCATGAAGCGCCGAAAATAGTGCACAACACTCAGCCATCTGTACCAAGCACCTGCAGCCAGACACTGTATTCATGTCAGGCACAGTCGGCGCTTGTGCTCACGTCTGCACTAGACAACAACCCGTCAAGCCATTCAGAGAGCAGCAATTGCAATGCCTTGATGCCCGAGAACTAACGCAAGCAACGCCAAGCAATGACAATCGGCTTCTGCTGGATGGCAATATGCAAACGTACACGCGATGGTGCGCTCGAGCAACACTCTCATGATTACTTTCCCCCTTAGTTGCACTCCTCTCACCCCCTCCAACAGCAACACCATCCTCTTTAACCCGCCGGCACCAAACGTAAAGCGCACCATCAAACGCACTTGACACCGTACTGCAGTTAGCCAAGGAATAATACTCATTTCTGTCACATGGCCCTGACACGACTCCACCCACTTGCTGCATCCGTAACAAATATACTGTGACAGGATGACCAGAATCTGCCAATGCCGCTTACCAACTCCATGTTGATGGTTCCGCAAAAAACACCATGAAGCGCCAAAAAAACGACGGCACATTCAGCCATCTGTACCAAGCGCCTGCCAATAACTGTATTCATGTCGGGCGCAGTCAACGCTTGTGCTCACTTTTGCCCTAAAACAAAGCCCGTCAAGGCACTCAGCGGGCACCACTGCAATTTCGCCCTACCTGAGAACTAACGCAAGCAAAACCAACCGATGATGTTCGTTTGTGTTAGGTGCCAATATGCAAATGATAACGCGATTGTGTGTCGCAGCTACACTCCCATTCTTATGTCTCAGTTTAGTTGCACTCCTCTCACCCCCTCCAGCAGCAACATCCTGTTCAGCCAACTGGCAACCAGAGCGCGCCATCATACGAATCAGACACTCTATTCTGGATAGCCCACGAATAAAATACACTTGTGCTACAAGGCGCTGACGCAATACCACACACTTGCTGCAGCCATAACCAATATCGTGACAGGCTCGCCAGAAGCTACCAACGCTACTTACCAACCGCATATTGATGACACCGCAAACACCATGAAGCGCCACAAATCGGACAACAAACTCAGACATCTGTACCAAGCGCAAACAGCCAGACACTATATTCATGTCAGGCACAGTCAACCTTTATCCTCACGTACGCACAAAAACGCAAGCCATCAAGCCACACGTGAGCAACGTCTGCGATTCCTTGCTCCCCTACAACTACGGGAAGCAAAGCCAATCGAGGTTGCTTGGCTTCTGCTGGGCGAGAATACGCACATGACCACGTGGTGACGCGCTGCAGCTACTCCCCCATGCTTACTTTCCAACTTAGTTGCACTTCCCATAACCCACCCAGCAGCAACGGCATCCTTTGCAGCCCACTAGAATCCCGCACATCCACATCCACCTAACACGTTCAAGTCGCCCTCCACCCGTCTACCACTCCGAGCAAATGCCAATGCAAAGCCCAGCCCTCCCACCTCTTGCAAAACCTGCAACTGCCACATACCTTTTTGAGCGGCCTTCACGTTGCCGGCGGCCTCTAGCTTCGCTATGCCCAATCAGCGCCAAAGCACAGCCGATTATGCTTCGTACACAAAAGCCCTCTCAACTGCTCCCAAGACAGTTATATGCTTTATGTACCGCAGCAAGTGCAAACACAATGTGACAAGCACAAAGCCCGTGAACATTAATCACCCACCTAACAAAGCCTGCCCGCAAAGGCAGAGAACGACCCGTCCATAAAAGCACAGACAAACTGCTAGAAACACTGTGCTGTACAATGACTTTAGTTGCCCAGGTTCGGCAAACTCACGCAGCTAGCGATTCTTTCTCACGCCACGCAAAAGTAGCAAGGTGAACATAAAACGCCATGGTAAGAAGTGTGTGTCTGGGGAAGTGCTCAAAAGCGCATTCACAGTGAGCTCTTTCAAACGTCTCGCCCACTTCTTCCGACACTCACGGCACCTCGGCCGCCTGCTCTTCATACAGCCGCAAATGGAATCCGAAAGCCTTTAACACTACACATCCAGTCTGCCAAATGAACCTGCTCGTCGCAAAGCAGCAAGCGTCGCTCGATGCCGAAGCATCCTCGCATGCGACATCCACCTCTCTGCTTGCATAACGTAACAGCAAATGCAGATAATCGTGGCAACTCAGCGGCAGTCCAAACATCGCCGACTCGCAGGCCAGACCTGCTGTCTGCGCGAATAGGCCCACCCTGCGAGGACCAGACCCAAGCTAATCAAACGCTATGGCCCCCTCACACGAAGAACCACCCCACCAATCCAGAGAAGCCTGCTCGTCCACATAGCAGAGTGCTCGCAATCGTGTTTGCTATTCTGATCGCGCAACACATCCGACGAGTCACCACCGCCAATAACTGCTCCTCAGCAAAACAAGCACATCCACTTGCTCACATGCCGAAGCCCCGCCCGCACTCTGTTATAGGCAAGGTTTCGTCGGCGAATAGATGACGCTGTGCTGCATGTACCCTCGCACATCATACTTTCCTATTGCAACGCCGTCTTGATACCACTCCACACACTTGCTGCAACTGAACCAGTGTAAGGTAACTGGACGACCAGAATCTGCCAACGCTGCTTACCAACCGCATCTTGATGACTCCGCAAAACACCTTGAAGAGCCAAAACAGGACAACACATTCAGCCTTTTGTACCAAGCACCTGCAGCCACTGTATTCATGTCAGGCGCAGTCAACACCTGTCCTCACGCCTGCACTAGAACGCAGCCCGCCAAGGCAATCAGCGAGCACTATTGCAGTCTCGCGCTGCCTGAAAGCTAACGCAAGCAACGCCAAGCAATGACAATCGGCTTCTGCTGGAAGGCAATATGCAAACGTACACGCGATGGTGCGCTCGAGCTCTCATGATTACTTTCCCCCTTAGTTGCACTCCTCCGACCCCTTCCAACAGCAACACCATCCTCTTTAACCCGCCGGCACCCAACGCAAAGCGCACCATCAAACGCACTTGACACTGTACTGCAGTCAGCCAAGGAATAATACTCATTTCTGTCATATGGCCCTGACACAACTCCACCCACTTGCTGCATCCGTAACAAATATACTGTGACAGACTGACCAGAATCTGCCAATGCCGCTTACCAACTCCATGTTGAGGGTTCCGCAAAACACCATGAAGCGCCAAAAAAACGACAGCACATTCAGCCATCTGTACCAAGCGCCTGCCAATAACTGAATTCATGTCGGGCGCAGTCAACGCTT